ATTCTTTCAATGACTTTATTTCCTTACCAATTCTATTTTTAACTATGTGTGTTAGTATTGGGTCTAGAAATTATTTTTCTTCTCATTTGTTTTGTAAATACCAATGCCAGATTTCATATATTGTATTAATATTCAACCAGAGGGCTGCTTTCTGTTTTTTTGTTTGTATTACACTTTTCTTAATAAATATTTCTTCAATTATTTTAGGGATTTTACTCTCTCTTGTTTCTTTCATAAAGTTGTATAACATTTCCTATATTTTTTGACTGATTGGGCACTCAAAGCCAAAGTGTTCTAGGTCTGTACTGTTCTAGGGCAAGCTGAGCATTCTCTATTTTTTATTTGTAACATATGTAAAAGTCTATATTTGAGTAGAAGAGCTTTGTGTTGGAATTTCCAAAATATATCTTTTTTATGATTACATACCTATTTGATATAAGTCCAGTTCTATTTTATCTGTTGTGAGTTTGTTTGCATTGCTATTGGTTGTAGAAACTTATGATTTAAATTTTCAGTACCTTTCTTAATATTGTATTCTTAATCTGTACTGTTCACTATATATATGTTTTCTAAATTTCATGACCATTTTTCTAAGTTTGATATGACCAAGCCTTTTACATATTTTCATGCAGCTAAGTATAGCTTTCACTACTCTGGCTATGCTTTCATTCTAATAGGTGCATTGTTTAATGCTACTTTTATATTTATACTTCTTTTATTACAGAGGCTTGCCTTAATTAGGTTTTTTCTATTTTAGCCTATAAATTTTCACTCTTTAGAGCCTTTGTACCTATTTTTATAGCTGATCTAAGTATTGCTATAACAGAACTAAAATTTGCAATTAGAACTTAACCATTAAACTGCTATGACCTTGTAGAGTTCACTTAGACTCCAGGAAGTTTTAACTAAATCATAATCAATCTGGCTTCAAACATATTTCATATGACCAGGACATTCATTTCATTATAATTGAAGGTCTGTTGAAATATAAAAATCATAGAAGCATTCAGGACTTTTTTTTTATACATTTCATTAATTTTTGCAATTTGTTTTTTGCTAGATGGCAATAGGTATGCTAAGTACTACACTTTTGAAAACAACAATGACTTTGTAACCAGAATTTTTTTTTTGAAAGAAAGGTTGTACTAAAATATACTGTTGCCAAGTTTTCTCAATTTTGCAATCATCTTTGACCAAAGACTATTTTGGCTCTATCATACATATTCACTTCATATTCTAGGATTTTGATCATCTTATTTTCTTTCAAAGTTTTATAGTCTCTTAGTTCTTCTATTTCTGATCTTAAAGCACTGTTAGTAAGTGGCACTACTACAGTTTTTAATTTGTTGATAGCTGAGTTAAATGCAGCTTTATATTTTTTTACTAATATAAAAATACTTTTCAATCTATTTATAATGAAATTCCAATTATGAGATCATCAGCATATGCTGCTAGTTTGAAGTAATGGTTATTTACTTTAATCCTTGTAAGATCTCTATATAGAGTTCTTAAAAACAGTTTAAAAGCTATTATGTATAATAGGGGAAAAAGCAGATTACTCTGTTTAATCCCCCTTTCTATTTTAAGACTTTGACATTATGCCTGTATCAGTTATATAGGCTTTCTGTGCTTCTAAGAGATTTTTAACTATTTTGATAAAAGTGCTACTAAATTCTATTTTTTCTAGAGTTAGTTGCATAAAGCCATAACTGATTTAGTCAAAAGCTTTCTTCTGATTCACAAATATTATCCAGTAGGCTCTTGTTTGCATGCCTTAATTCCTCATCACAGTTAAGATATCCATTGTTGCATCAATTATCAATTATTCCAAAATGAAACTCTGTTGATATTTTTCAACTAGTATATCACATAATAGGTTCAACCTGTTTGCCATCACTTTTATAAAGATTTTGACATCACAGTTAGTAAGTGATATTGGGCACCAATTGTTAATCGAGTTCAGATCTTTTGATTTATTTAAATAAGAGTTATAATATACTTATACTAGGACTTTGGAATCATGTCTTTGTTTAATATTTTATTAAAAATCTTACGTAGAACAGGGTTTACTATGTTTTGCAGATCCTTATAGAACTCATATGTGAGTCCATCAGTGCCAGAAGAATTATAATTTGGGAGCATGCTTATAACCTTTACTATTTCTTCTATAGAGATCTGCTTGGTTAGTGCTTAATTTTGTTTTGCTAAAACACATGGTAGGTCTTTTATTAAGTCCTCTATTTTCTCTGCATTGTCTGTTTTTGCTTTATACAAATTCTTATATTCACTTTTAATATATTGCATAATATCCTTTGGGTTTGTATTATCTGGATCATCCGAGATTCTAATTTTATTTATTGCTGATATTGTGTAATGAGTTTTATAGTATATAAAGAAGTACTTTGTTGATTTCTTACTATTCTCAATCTACCTCACCTTAGATTATATTTGCCACTTCTTCACAAGTACCATTAGCTTATCCTGCAGTTTACTTAACAGCTGTTTTACTCAGTATTGAAAATCTGCTTTGAAATTTATGTTCTTATGACAACACAATTATTTAATTTAATGTTCTCAAAAATATTTTTATGTTCTCAATAGCAAAATTACTGTTATCATTTTTTGGAAATTTTCAAATAATATTGATAATTTATTTAAATATTTATCCCAAACTTGCTTGTTTTTTATGTTTGTTTATTCTTTTTTCAGAATTTTTCAAAATTTATTTATTTTCTAATTGTCAACTTAATTTGTACTATAGTATATAGAGAACATATTTATCAAGCAATATGTTCTCAAATATTTTTTTATAAAGAACATATTCAAAGTAACAAATGTTCTTAAATTCAAAAGTATGTTCTCTTGAGAACATAAGAATATTAGATTTCCAACACTAGTTCCACTACCAGTTGAAGATCTGCCTTCCTTATATCTTTTGCTATTTCAGTATTTAATTCTGTGATTTTCTTGTTAAGCTTCTAAATTTTATTTTCAGATGCTACTGAGGATATGAATTCTCTGATTACTGATTAAATTTTGTATTTCTGAAAATCTCAGTCATTTATTACTTAGGTCTTATGAAGGATTTCAATAATTTTCTTTCTAATTCTCAGGTCCTGTAAACTTTTTTTATTGAGTTTCCAGAAAGCTGCCTGTGATGAATTTCATATCAGAACTAATTCACTCTTAATCATTAAATGGTCTAAGTTGTCATATTTTGTTAATGTACACTTATAATATTGTGCATAACTTTTGTCAATAAATATGTAATTTAGTCTTATAGACATTGTTCAGTTGCTCCTGGTCTTTTGAAAAAAGGTGCAGAATAGTTGTTTTTTAGCTATATCAGCTGTATCTATAAAGTTTTCTATTAATGCTTTAAACTTCTCCTTAGTAGGATCATAGTGCATACTGGTTTGGCTTACTTTATTCTTTTCTGGATTTAGATTCATATTTAAATCATCAGCTGTAATGTTTATTATGTTATAATTTAATTTTGATTTCCAACTCTCAAAAAACTTGCACTAATCTTTTATATTGGAAGGTGCATATATATTAGTAATATGAAATATATGTTGCTTATATTGAAAAATAGTGTTGATTATTCTATCATTAAATGAGTCCTTTATATTTTCTAATTTTATACTTTGATTTCTAGTGAGAATTGCCATTTTTGTGTTCTAATGTAAGTTATAAGTCCACTATTGCTTAATAAAATTTCTTGTTTTTGCTTCTTTTAAGTTAGTTTTCTGTATCAGAATTATGTTTATTTTATATAATTTTAAAAGGGTTAGTGTCTTTTGATGTTTTTGTTAGTTGTTCAAACCTTTAATGTTTAATGTAGTGATTTTAATTTTATGCTTATTCATTGTTATATTGTGAATTTATTGTTTTTTATTAGATCCTGTTCTGTTAACAAAACTCTTTGCATCTTGTCTTTTTTTAATATACAGTTTGTGACTGTCATCTCTAACCTTAGGCTTGTATTTCTTATAAATTACAGTTATAAATTCATTATCTGAAGTTTGGGTTTCACTATTGTTCATTACTGTTGTTAAGCTAGTCTCTTTATCTTCTTTGTTGTCTGCTACTTTCTCTGCTTTTGCATTATATTATTATTGCTCACAGCAATCCTTTTGTTCTCAATCATGTTTTTTAAATTTTCATTACCATTTTTTGACATAGTGTTATTCTCTTTTTTATTAGTATCCTCTTTTTGCACTACCTTATCATCTTTGCTTCTTTTCTTGACACTTATATAGGGGTTATTTTCACTAAAGGTGAGATTATGAGAAACTGTATTCCTTTTGTTTTGTTTAACCACTCTATGATTCTTATATGATCATTTAACTTTTAATATCTCTTTAAATTGTGAGCAGTCTCTCTTAATATGCCTAGTTTGATCACAATAAAAACAAACTTTAGGTGCTGATTTCTATTTAATTAGAACTTTTTGACCCTATATGCTAGTATGTCTAGGTAATCTGTCTTCAAGTTCTGGATCTTTAGTTGCTTTATAAATTACTATTCCTAATTAGTACAAATTAGTGTATCTTTATATACTAAGTGCTTGATTGACTTGATAACACCAAAAACCTCAAATGTCTCATATATTTTGTCAGAAATAAAGTTTTTCTTTTCTATTAAAATGTTACAAAGTTTAACTGCAAGGTGGGATCATTTTAGGTTAGTGGGAATGTATTTCACAATGTTTGCCTAAAGAGCTCTATACCTTTTTCAGCATAGTGTCTTTGTTTTTTCTCACTTTCAAAGACAATCTTTAAATAGGTTCTTTTTCCTTTTGTGAAATGGAGTTTTGCTTCTACAAAGTCATTACTGATTTTGGCATACATCATAGATATAATTTCATTTATCAGTATAACTTCAAGACTTTGTATATCAAAAATTAGAGTGTTTTCATTTTTAGTAACAATATTCCTCTTTAGTGAATGCTTTGAGAATGTTGCCTGCTCTTTCTTTAGTGTTGCAAACAGACTAGTCTATTTATGAGATATGTGTGTTTGACTTTCTTCAAAGTAAGTCTTTTTATTAGTAACCCTTTCTTGATTAAAGTTAAATGTTTCCCCTTCTATTTGTGCCCTCTGGATATCTTCAAGTTCATATATGTTATGTGATGAACTTTCAGTCTGCTTCAGATCAGAAGATTTTTCAGAACTTTCCTTGAGAGTCATTTCAAAATTTCCCAATTTTTTTGTTTTTTCTTAAAAGAGTTCATTTTCAATATCTTTGAAAGCAGTCATTTTTTTATATTGAAATGTTATTTTTACAATCTTGTGCCAGTCTCTGGTATCAGTATTATTGTTATTATTAGGTGGTTTAAGAGTTTCTAAGGTCTTTTTAGCTTCATTTGGGTTTTCTTTACCATTGAGTATTTTTTGATTTTCAGATCTTGTTTTGTGTATTTTCATTACTTTACATATATTTTTCTTTATTTCTATTCTAACTCACTTCCTTTTCCTTGGTACAAAGGTCTTTGCCCTTGGTAGAGTGTTTTTTGCATTACTGAACTTGACTACCTGTTGTATTTTCTTTTCTTTCTTTACACCTGACTACAGGAAGTGAAGAGAGTATCAATTCTGTATAGCACATATTAGTTAAATAATATTGATTACTAAATCACATCGATGTTAATTTACTTGACAACTAACATTTATAAAATGAATTAAACAAAAAATTTTAGAATGTTTGAAATTAAGGTTTTGCTAAATATATGCATGAAAATTTTATATCACAAAACCAAAACTATATTTGTATTTCTTTAAGATTTTTGTTATATTCTATACATGTTTCTATATTTTTACATGATCTACCTCTTGGCATTATCACTAACAAGAATTTAGAAACCCAAAAAAAGTAATTTAGGATCCAAAAAACTAAGGTCTTGTTGAATATAAATATGAAAATTTTTCATACAATAACAATGAGACTTGTCACATGCTACACTTTTGTGTCTACCCTTTGAAATTGTCACTAATGTTGGGTTTGGAAGATTGTGACTCTGTCATTCCACAATTTAATTTCTCACATAACATATAATAAGTAACCTTTTTGAAAGAGGGTGTTAGATTTGACTAGTGGGTGATTAAGACTTTCGGTTACTTTGGGTCAACAAATGCAAGTAGGGTAAGTCACATAGTCAAGAACTTGAACAGTAATGTTATAGGGGTTCACAGGGTTTGTAACAGTAATAGTGTTAGTGTTTATTATGTACAATGTAATGTATTGGGATTTATTATTTTATAAAGCAAATGAAACATACTGCTCCCAAGGACCATTTCGGCCTTTATTTATTATATAAAATTCGTCACTTACAAATGCGACTTATCTATTAAAACTAATTAAACTATTTACGAGTATTTATTTAATATCTGTTATTTCCTCCCTTTATTCCTTATATGCCCCTTCGGATCCGAAATACCATTTCCGATCTTAAATGTAACTTATTACACTTATTACATTTATTGCACTTATTGCATTTCGTGCATTTTCACGTGATCGGTCACGATATTCGGTATCACAATTTCCGGAATCACACTAGCAAGATTTTGGGGATCCTGAAAAGGTATTTTCGGATCCAGAAAACTAAGGCCTTATTAAATATAAATATAAAGTTTCAAAGTGTCATATTTTTTATGAAAAGTTATGAAGCCCCAAATTTTAATAGTGAATTATGTAAATCAACCAATCAGCGTGAGATTTGCAATAATCACATCGGAAATAAATCCGCCCATATGTAGTTGCATATTTATGCTTATCATTATTTGTCATTGGTCTGCATATATGTACGCACGTACAGTACATATGTACGCGTTTGTATTATTAATACAATACGTAGTGATAATACTATTAAAGAATAAAACTCGAAGATCCAAATTCATAACAAGAAACTGTTTGGGACTTAGGCCAATAAGACTTACTGTATTTGAATTGAGTCAGATTGTCGATCAAGTCTTTAAGTAACTAACAACAGTTTTCGGAACCTTGTCTTTTTGGACCATTTTCCATCCTTAATCGAATCTAAATCAAACTTTAACCTAATATCATAGCCTGAAGATCGATATTCACTAAATCTATTATTGATTATCTTCAGCTGAAGAAGATTTTGTTGTTTTTTGTCACTGTTTAGCTCTAGTAATCAATAAAGACAAAAAATAAGACTCAATTAATAATAAAATTGAATTATTTTTTATTTATGTGAAAAATTCAAGTAGCGTTCTTAAAGCATTAAATCAAAACTATCTATTATAAGATGACTAAATACAAATTATACCTTTTTAAATAAAAAACATAGCTATTACACTTTACTTAAAATTAGAATGAAGAAACTTCTGTTTTGAATATTGAATATAAAACTCTTATATTCTTTAGAATTGATTCTGAAATGTAATCATTTATGAAAACGATTCTAACGACTATATAGAAATGAGAATCGATTCTAACTCGATTTATTATTAAAGTGATCATTATAGAATCAGTTCACACCTAATTTTTAAGGGGATCCCTAATTTCTCCTCACGGACAGTTGTAAATTTCATCTCTAATTGGACAATGTCGACTACGCCACCTTTCGTCTGCCAATCAAATTAAAAGATCGAGTGTAACATAGAAACAAATAAAGTTATTAAAGGTTTTCAAAAATCGTCGTTAGCTTAAAATTTTAGTTATAAAACCACCTTTTTTGTTCTAACAAAAAAATGCCTTGCAAAATTTTAGTATAATATTTGTTCTATTAGACCTTTATACTGTTTTAACGATATTTTCATTATTTGATCGAAAAGTGGGAATTTTTCTCGTCCAATAGGAACTGTGGGGGGAAATTAGTAATCCCATTTTTAAGACTACCTAAAATTTGATACAATTTATAAGTTCAACTGGTTTTACCAAAATTGATTAAACTTATTATTCGTAGCTTCCAAAGACAGATCAATTTTATCAATTTAAAAATTTTTATAACAAATCTCATTAAGGAAATATTCATTTGCAGCGGAAAGTGCCCGAATTGCCCCCGGAAATCAATTGCAAGATTCAAGTAACTTTTGGGTAAATCTATACCGAAAATCAATTGGCATAAAAACTTTTGGTGACTGATATAAATGGGTTTCTTTTTGAAGTATAATCATATGTAGTTTAGTTCAAGTTTGCTTAAAGTTAGTATGAGTACTGACAAAAATGTTTCATTATCATTTATTGGGGTCGAGTACATATGAATTTTTTTGTTTTTGTTAACCACTAGTGGGACGCCATATGGCGTGATTTATTAAATACAAGTACTTATGAATTCAATTATATAGTATTTAGGCTTAGGCGGTACTCATATTACCATAGATCAATACAAAAAAGATTAGAGTGAAATTAGAAACTAAAACTGGCAGCAATTCAATTTTACATTGGTCGCAGGATATGCGTATCACATAATATGCATGAAGGCTTATCGTTAATAAAATATATACAGTATTACATATTTTAATACAATAACATATATTTTTTAATACATAGTTTTGCTAGTAAAATTTTAGACTGTAAGATCTAAAAATACTGGACAGTGACCTTTTTTTTGATCGCTGATATATTATTGATTATCACTTAATGCTTATACCAGTATTATGTAGATATGGGGTGCCGTCAGTCAAAACGTCCCATAGTGAGATTATTAATATGTTACACAAAATGATAAAAAATCAGAACA